ATTTACGAGCTAAAGGATCTATGTGTGAAGGTAATAGGGGTAGGAGATGGAGGTAGGACTGGATGTAGGAATCATGAAGATATGACTTTACTCTAAACCAGTTCGAGAAAGTTGAATAAGACTTAACCACCGTCGCATATAGCACGTACAAATAAACTTCTTTGGAACCTCAAATCCCAAAAACAAAAAAAAAAAATCCCTAATTAATAAAGGAAGAGGAAAGTGGAAACATACTATTGAGGTCTTTGTACAATTGTCAAGGGCCATGGTCATAGGTCTCCTAATTTTTAAAATTCAAATATTAATAGATATGGATTGAGCCGCCTAAGATAATCAACCTTGATGAGTTTGAAATTAATAAGAATCAACTAAGGGGAGTAAATTGCCCCTATACCAAACTGTTGAATAAGAAGGAAGAATTTTGATAACACAAATACCCACTTCCCAAAATCCACCAACATTTAATTTCGGGAGCCAGCGAAAGAATCCACTAAGATAATGTGAGTGGTATGGATAGATTGTAAGTGTGAAATGATACTAAGGTTAACAAGTAAGATAAGGGATGACCATTGTATCTAGTGAAGCCAAAGGACTTGATTCTAAAAAGGAATGAATTATTCGAACCAAATCCATGTTAGTACCCAGAAGAAGTTTTTGTGGGAAACTAGAAAGTCATGTCTCGATAAACTAGTACCGAATTAGAGTAAACTATAGTATCGGGTCATGCTTTTAAGGTGACAGGACTAAGAGTTCCCTATATATGACTCCAAGCCGTATCTTGGCCTTGTATGAATAGTCTTTTTAAATAAATAAAAATAAAAATAAAAATAAAAACAAAGTAAAACAAAAATAAAACAAACAAAATATGAACATCTTACAAGAGCGATTTTCGATCAGGATACCACAGATCAACATTCTTGGAACAATATTTTTTTAAAATATGATACGACAATTAGTAATGATCGAACCCAACCAAATTCTAGTAGTTTATAGATGATAATAATAATAATAATAATAATAAAAATGTGTAACTCCTACTCTTGAAAAGAATAAGATAACTAAAATAAAAACAATTCTGATAAGATTATTCTATGATTCCTTCAGCAAAAACACACTATTAGCAATAAAGTTTTATTTATGTGAGTTAGAAAAGAAAAGTTACAAACTAAAGGCATTCCATTGGTGATAATATTATAATGACATATTAGGTTGAACAGGGAGCTTCGAAATGGATCAAGATACTCCGAATCCTGGCTACTGCAAATTTGGAGGATCAAATTTTTTTTTAGGGGGAAAGTATGTAACACCCCGATAAAGAAAAAAAATAAAAAAAGAAGAAAAATTTGGCATTTAATAGGAAAAAGGGAATCGATGGCCTAGAATGGATTTTACCGAGTTAGGAGGAGATGGAAGCTAGAGGTGAATAGATTCTTATACTCATATATTGTTATGGTGATATAAAGATTGGATTTCTATGTATGTTATCAATATAGATGAGTTCCGAACGGAATGAGGTAAGAATGTGTGAAATGGATAGTGAGCTGAGTGTAAGGGAGGGAGAGGGAAGAAAATCGGCCAAAATGGAGTTAGGCCAAGGATTTATGAGAAATCGGTGGCGATTTTGCTGGTGAGGTACCGAGGTACCAAACTTGAGGAGATGAATGTTGAAGTGTCGATGTTGGCAGTGGCAGAGTGGGAGGTTGTGGTGCCGATTTTGGTACCTGCATTTACAAGCGTGTATGGTGTATTTTGTGCAATGTTATTAGTGTGGAGTAGTGTGGTATGTATATATGGTATTTGTATGTATGTGTTTGTGGCAAGTAGTAGGCCGATGCGTGCGTATGTATGGCCAGGGACGGTCGGAGTATGTGGCCAAGAGATGGCCAATTGTGTGAGTGACAGTGTACTGCCAATATGTGTGGCCAAGAAAAGGCTGGTGTAGGTGTGTGGCAATTAACAGCTATTGTATTGGTGGCCAAATGGGGTTGGGGTGCGTGTGTGGCTATATATTGCTAGTATGTGCGCATGTGTGGCCGAGGAAAGGTCAGTGTGTGTGGTTGAGTGAAGCTGGTGGTGGGGTGGCAAAAATAGAGTGTGTGTGTATGGCTAACCAAGGTCGAGGAGGTATGTGTGTGTGGCTGAAAGGCTGGGGTGCGTGTGTGGCTAGATTGAAGCTGATGAGTGGCTTGTGTGGCCGAACTAGGACCGGTAGAGTGTTTGGTGGTTGAAGGCAAGGTAGGTAGTGGAGGTACACGTGTATGGGTAGTGTAGGATTAGAGAGAGAGGGTGTGGCGAGAGGGTTATGAGGATGAGGAATAGGTGTAATGTTAGATTAGATGTTTAAATGTATTTTCATGCCATATTTGAGTTTGAATTTATTTTACTGCGCTACATTGTACTCATTATATATCATTTGCAGATGTAGTAAGACTAAAGGAGAAATGAAAGTCCCAACCTTGGGGGGGCGGGGATCCCACATAGGGGAAACAAGTAATTAAAAAACTGAATGTTTAAGAGATTGTACAGGACGTCTATTCATTTTATATTCATGCAGTAAATGAAAACCTTTCATGAATTTTAATGCTGTTTTTTATCCCCAAACAAATGGACAATCCGAAAGAACTATATAGGTGTTGGAAGATATGTTACAAGCATGTGTTTTGGATGTGGGTAAGAATTGGGAAGAGATGCTACTATTGATAGAGTTCGCTTACAATAATAATTATCATACTAGTCTTGGATAACCCCTTATGAGGCTCTTTATGGTAGACCCTGCAGGTCGCCGGTTTGTTAAGATAAAGTAGGGGAAAGACAATTGTTGGGTCCAGAGCTAGTGGAGGAGACAACTGCTAAGATATCAATAATAAGAAAGAACTTGTAAGCAGTCCAGAGTATACAAAAGGGGTATGTAGATAATAGAAGGGGGGGATCTGGTGTTCGAGGTATGTGGGGATGCATGATATGTTTCACGTTTCAACATTGCAAAAGTATCAGTATGACCTGACACATATTATA